GTTCCAACACAAGGTAAGCTTGAATGTGTTTAGCAAGGGGCTTGGAAATATGTACATGTTCCAATACAATATGACTCTGTTCCTCCTCGGAGTCAGATCCAGATGATTGCTCCACCGTATTTGCCTTTTCCTTCTCTTTTCCTTTATCCTTGTGTTTTTCCTTTCCCTTCTTCCTTTGACCTTTTCCAGCTGACTGAAGTGTTTAACACTCTGAGGTGTTGTGTGATTTAGCTTTGTGGAAGTCACACCACTTTTCCTCGGATCTGAGTGCTGATTTGGAACCTCCAGGAGCCTTCCCTGACTGTTGTGCAACTTCTGCAGTGATCCGGATCTCAACTGCATTAAAGGTAAGTTTATTTTCTTCAATTGTGTTGATTACCGATGACTGAAATATTTGCCATTCAGGAGTGCATGGGAGAGATTGGAGAAGAGCAAAGGCCATGAGTTTGGTATCAACTCCTAGTTTCATTCCAGAGAGGTGTGAATCAATTGTCTGTATTTTCGCAATGTGGTCCTGGATTGATGTCCCATCCCAGGACAATTTGGTGAGTTGCTGGAATGAATAGAAGGCCGAGGCAATATTGGACGTCTGATGGAGTGAGACAGGTTTATCAAATAACTCCTTGGAGCTGGTGAGGTCTCCAGTCCCCATTAGGAGGGCATCAGAGATGTGGTCTTGAATGATTCCATGTGCCTTCTCATCCTTAAGTATCCAGGTGATCTCAGGATCCTCCGAGGAGGTAGGTTTTCCTGGTGAGGGCTTGAGCTCCTCTCCAGTAACAACCTGGAGAACTTTTTCCCGACGTAGCTTTGAGATGATCTGGAGTTTCCATATCTGAAAATTGTTGGGTCCAGTGAGAACTGGACATGCAGATGTATCGTGTGCTGTGGTCATGGTTCCAAGGTTGCCATTAATTATTTCCTGCGTAGCTTTTGCACACCAGGGCTTATAAAACTAAGTGAAACTCAGCTGCTGCCCGAGAGGCTATAGAAACAACTGAGGTATATCTATACTAAACCCCCTACTACTTATAGTCAGAGGTGCTACTAGCTACAGTATAATGACTCCTAGGAGAACAATGGTGACTCCATGGAGTGGTGGCTATGCTCCATGGAGAACAATGGCTGCTTTGGCAGAGACCGAATTTATCCGGTTTTGTCAGAGAGTACCATCTTGATCAATGTAGAAGATGAATGAGTTTCTAAGAAAGATTTGTTTGCAGTATGCATCAGGAAAAATATATAATTAAGTTGATTGGATGGGAGGGTCAGTTTACTAGTTTAAGAAAGGAATTGTAGAGATGACTCAGCAAGTAGTGATACAATTGTTCTTATCTTTGAACCTAGTATCATCATTAGATTTAGATTTCATGGAGATCACTGCTAAGTTCTACTAGCAATGCTATGCTGGATGGTGCTTTTATTATATAGGTTTGAATTTGGGTTTTATGGGGGTAGGTGTAATTATTGATTAGAATAGGTTCACCATTCCCAAGAGCTTGCATATACACCTTCTCTAAGCTCTGATAGCAGAAAACAATGTATCACATTGGTAGGTTTAATCACTACAATGAAATCCAATCATCCACAAAAATGAGTTTGGTATGCCTGTTTGGTGTTGCTTATTGTGAAGCTTTACTAGTATTGAAGTACAATGTTTATAATAGACCAAAATTTCAGATGCACAAACCAAAAACAAAAGATATTAGAGAAATGCAAATACTTTAAAAGTTTAGAAGCAATATTTGATAGCATCTTCAAAGAGTAAGGGAGCTGCAGCTGCAAAATGTTTTTTATGGTAAATGATCTTCATTATGTGTGGGTTCAGCAAAGGTAGCAAAGAGTACAGTTTGTTGTTGTTGAGAATTGGCCCCCCCACCAAGTGAAGATTAACTGCAATAGGACTGAAAAATGCAAAAAAAAAACAACAACTGCAATGTAAAGAAAGCAACAAAGAAGAAAAGTATAGGCCTTTTCAATTTGGTATTGTGACTGAATTTGAGACTGATTATTTCAGGACTGGGTGATAGTTTATATTTGAAATAGTGGTTGAAGACCAGGATTTCACATATTGATTAAATCTGCCCTAGATCTTCGGGACCAGAATTAGATGATTCCACACACTTTGGGAATCTGCCTTAGCTTTGGGATCTGCCCTTCAGTTTGGGATGATCCCAGGATGTGTTGGGGATAATCCCATACACTTATGGTATTTGCCTCTTAGTTTGGGATCATCCTAGGGTATATTGGGGATAATCCCATACACTCATGGGATTTGCCTTTTAGTCTGGGATCATCCCCAGCCAACATAGGACAATCCCATACACCTGTGGGAACTGCCCCTCAGTCTGGGATTTTCCCCGACCAACATGGGATCTGCCCCTCAGCCAAGGACAATCCCTAGCTTTGGGATTATCCCAAATACTCTTGGAATCTGCCTCTAGCTCTGGAATATCCTTATGTAGGCTTGGAGATAGTTCCACATTCTCACACACTGATAAGATCCTCCTGAAACATGCACAGATGTAGTATATAGATTGCCATACATCACACAATAAGTACCATAAGTTTTTATGCTGCTGATTAGCACCCAAGTACAGCATTAACTAAATTGCAGATATTACAGGCATCTAATATATATCTCTATCAAGAAAATGTAATTTATGGTTGTCAATCAAATCTTTGGTCATCAACCAAACCGCAACAACCATCTAGATCTTCTCACTATCTCACTGCTTTAAGGCTTCAATCTTATCCACTCACACCAAACTCATTCCACATTTCAGGTGAGAACAATATACCATGTTCTCAGATTATCTATTCAAATTTTCAACAACAAACCATTTGTCATTTACTATTCCTACTTTTTGATACATGGGACCTTAGCACACCTCTAAAAACTGAACATTCATTGGGCCACTTACATACCCATGGTATTGAGCCAGCCTCAACCGGTGAAATGCAAATATGTAGCTTTTGCTCTGATGCTAGTTTTTTCTCACTTGGCTGACTTGTGATTAGGTAGTTCTGTATAATGGATTTTCATTCAGACATACATATGAATTATTGTACTATTTCAACCTTTAGGTTTGACACAGCACAACTGCCATAACAAACCAAACCAAATGCTTGACATATTGATTTGAGATTCTCATTCACAGCTGAGCCAAAAAGTCTTACAATCATGCTTTTCACACATCTCAACAATATGTGAACTTAGCATATCACACTCAAATTCACATACATCTAAGGTCGGAATGGTACAGTATTCATTATCTTCCAGTTGTTCATTGTTCAAACAATATTCAGATTTCTCCAAGTACCTATTTCCTCATTACAAGCCATACTACTACTTGTCATTGTTTAGTGCTCAAGCATCAGTTTCCAATTAGTGATCTATTGGTATTGCTAATCTGGGAAAACCCACTTTTTCTGTTATTGGCCCCCCTGACACCTTGTGACATGTGACATTTCTGTGGGATTTGCACAGATGTAGATAAAGTTTGAGTAAAATTAAGTAAGTCCTTTTCTATCTTTCCAAAAATCATAAATAGGAAATTAACAAAAAATTTAAACAACTCAGATCCATCTATATATTCAGGATCTTTAAGTCGCATTGACTGAATATATAAAACATTAAATGATAATGCTCTGGCATAAATAAATATTATAGAAGATAACCTAGTATGTCTTAAAACTACTGAAAAATGTTCAGCCGGAACCAAAATTAAATTCTTACTTTTTATAAACAATTTTTATAATTGTTGTATTATGGTTCAGTTATGTACTACTATAACTCTAAAAATTCTCATATTGTTTAAGAATATCTTAATCACGGAACATGAATAGAATTAATATGGACTATTACTCCAGCTTTAATTTTAACTATAATTGCTTTCCCGTCAACTCAGTTTCATTAATTTATTTGTGTCTTATATTTTTGTTATATTAATTTTAATTCCCAAAACAAAATTTAAATTTAAATAATTAAATTTTGATAATATAAATATTAAATAAAAAGTTAAATCATTAATTATAGTTAGTGATAGTTTCAAAAATTAAAAAAATTTATCCAAATGACCTAACTAAAGCTAATTTTCTTAACAAAGTCGTTTTTGTTATAATTCATTAATCTTTTTATTTAAGCATTATAATTTAAAGCAAAAATTATATTTTATACTTGAGACTAACTAAAAACTAACTTTTTTATTTATATTTTATTATATTTAAATAAAGTTCTGCAAAAGGTATGCCGTCATTTTGTTTTAAAATCTCGACTGCTTATAGAGTTACTAATTCAAGTCTATTTCATCCCTGGGAATCATCCCAAGTCCTGGGATCTGCCCAAAAAAACAGGCATTTAGGTTGATAGTTTTACACACAATGTTCAACCTAAATGCCCCTATTTGGAGGGTGACTAAAGTGTCCTTTTGCCTCTTATTGTCCCTTTCAACAGGCTACTGATCAGGCCAGTCAGCGGATCACTCCATAAGATACAGCAACAAATGCAGCCTATGTGCTCACCTTTGTTGGATTAGCTTATCCAAGTACTTAATTTGCCTTAATATTAGAGTTTGGCAAGTTTCCTGATCCTGCATATGTGTTCCCTTTAATTTCTGGTTTTTCCGTCTACAAAAATCTCTATACAAAGTCATAATTTGTACTAAAATATGGTCTGGGTGCAAAGTCTCAATAAATATCTTGAATATTTTCATCATTATGTATGTTGTACAATTGGGTTGAACTTATTGTGAATCATTTTTCTCTTCAAATTCAAGATATATTTTGTTGCTGTGTATCATAAACAAATCATACAACATATTCTAATTGTGTTGTAGAATCAGTGTGACATACATATCGGAACCTAAAATCAGAATTTGTTTTTCCATTTGTTGAAGGATTTGATTAGCAACCATATAACATCAAGACTGGGGTGACTGTAGTGAGAAAAACTCTGGAACATAAAATGAATCGGTGGAGGCACGTGATCAATCAGTCTTCGAAAATCGGAAATCGATCGGATCGATTCGGTCACTCAGGCCTACCAAATTCGGTGATTTTCCTTGGAACGGCGGAGTTGCCACTGGGATGAACCTAGTGCCGAATCTACAGTACATTGTTTATGAAGTCCACTACAGTATATTCATATGGAATCACTTCTCGCTCAGTTCTGCAACACCGGGAAGAGTCTGAGATGATAGCATATTAGTAGAATATACGACATGAATTAGTGAATTTCTCTGACCTTTCCTTCGAGTAATTCGAGGCTGGCACCCCCACCAGTACTGACATGGCTTAATTGTCCTTCAGCACCATATTGTGCTGCTACGGTCGCAGTATCCCCACCCCCAATAATGACTGTGGCACCATTTCGTGCCGCTTCAACGTTGGCGTCAAGGAGTGACTTGGAGCCTGCTGCAAATGCAGGAAACTCGAATACGCCGGGAGGGCTACAGGAATCACGGTCATTATGTCCATTATGTACGTTGACTGGAAAACACACCCGTTCCATAGAATCGTCTTTGCTTCCAAAACCATCTGACGGAATAATTCACGACTCTCGGGACCCGCATCTAGGCCCATCCACCCATCAGGTATGCCATCCGAGGCAGAAGTAACACCGGTCTATTGGATAATAAGCAACAGGCCAATTTCAGCAATAATGACGAATAAACCTTTGCATTCTTGTCAAATTTGTCCGCCGTGATATAGTCAACGGGAAAAACAAGTTTCACGTTATATTCTCTAGCTTTCTCTACTAATGCGGTGACTTTCTCTGATCCTGCTTGATCAAATAGAGAATCTCCTATCTATAAACAAAATCCGATCAGATGGCATTCGCGCCAATCTATCACATACTCACCGACATATTGTCAAGGATTTTCTTGAATGTGAAGGCCATACCACCGCAGATAATTAGTGAATCAACCTATTCGTTATAGAATTAACAAGGCAACCACCGAATATGACATCTGTGTACCTTCGGTAACATGTTTTCGATGAGCTGTATCTTGTCAGACACCTTCGCCCCGCCAAGGATGGTTAGAAACGGTCTGTCAGGATTTTCGAGTGCTTTCGCGAAGTAGTCCAGCTCCTTCTTGACTAGGAACCCAGCTGCTCTTTGGGGCAGTTTGACACCAACCATACTAGAATGCGCGCGGTGAACTGTACCAAAGGCGTCGTTAACATAGACGTCCCCAAGTTTTGTCAACTCTTCACGAAATTCCGTAATTTTGGCGAAGTCTGCCTTAGTTTTTGTCCCGTCCTTGTTTTTTATGGACCCTTCTTCCTCTATGTGAAACCGCAAGTTCTCCAGCAGAATGATGGTGCCGGGAGAAGCAGAATTGACAGCGGTTTTCACCTCTTGCCCGACGCAATCCGAAATGAAAGTAACAGGATGGCCGATTTGCCTTTCAAGCTCTAGGGCTACGGGCTTTAAAGAATATTTATCCACGACCTTGCCATCCGGGCGACCAAGATGCGACATAAGCACTACAGTAGAAGCCCCTGTTTTCCATGTCAGGCAAAATCGAATGTATAGATATGCATGTTCAAACCAACCATTCTGAAGAGCATACTTGATAGTAGGGATGGCAGCCACGATGCGCTAGATATGAACGATGAGCAGGATAGTCCCTACTGGTGCAATGTGACATACCGCAGGATTAGTGATTTTACCCTCCATCATAGGAACATTAAAGTCCACGCGGATAAGGACACGCTTGCCCTTCAAATCAAGTTCTGTGACAGAAAGTTTACTTGATAACGACATTGTGAGTATTCAGCCCAATGGTTGAAACTTGGTTGACTTGCAGAGGTTTTCTTATCTGAATCGTATCCTGATTACATAATGCATAACATAATCTTCGCAGCGTTGCGTGTATGTAATGGCCGCGGCTGGTTCGCACTTGCTCTTAGTTTGGAGTATCGTCCTTACTTATCGTCCATACCTGTTAAATCTTGCAAGTAGAGGTAGCTTGCGGCTAGGCTTATGATGGAGAACGCAGAAACAACTTCTAACTCTTTGGGACTCGACTTTGAGACTTCCGCCCCTCTGGAAGATTCTTCAAATACTGTGCCATTTGACTCCACCAGTACCGAGATAGAACAAGAGCATTTGGAATCATCTCTACCTGTAAACAGTGATGTGAAATCCAAGAAAAAACCGTATCTTAATCCTGAACGCGTCAAAACGGGTGGGGTACAACGGGTACGGCATTTCAATTGACATATCAGATTAATGTTAATACTATTCAGGAAAAACCAAGCGAACAGGAGCTGGCAAATCGTATGGCCCGTATTAAGGACCAGAATGAGAAAATCAAACAGAGAAGGATGGTGAGTTTCAGGGTACATGGAAGATAATTGTGGAATTCACCACAGTTACAGGATGTTCAGGCCGACGAAGAAGCATTCAAAAAAACGCAAGAAGCTGAACGTATACGACAAGTTCACAACCGCGAAGTGCAGGAGCATGTCGATCGCACTCGCGAACAGAATGCTCGAAAGAAAATGGATAAAGTTCAGAGCCGGGAGTGGGACTCTGGCAAGTCAGTTTCATATTCAAAGGAGAGAAGGCTACCGGTGCCGGTAGCCAAGGTCGCTGGTGATAATGTCACATCGAGTACGTCTTCTTCTCGGAAAGGCGGAAGACCTAGGGATGCAGGTCGCGATGATGTTAGTGCACAACACACTTTAACTCCAAAGTCGTCACAAAAAGATAGTATCCAATGAGTAGATTTATAATATTTTACACCAACAGCGAGCTGTCAAAGCCACTATACAGTTACCAATGTCTTTAAATACCCTAGCGTTCTCTGACTTTACCTAGTCTCCCATATGCATTGTACGTTAGCCTCCCCATCCACAGTTTCGAGTGTTTAGGATATATTTTCTGAGCGACACAATGAACACAAACGATAAGATAACGATAAGATAATAGCATGGCCCCGTAGCCCGTAGATGTTGTCCCTAACATTGATTGGACATGGTATGGATTTCAAAGATGTATTGATGAAAACTATGCAACTGAAACTTTTATAAACTGTGTACAATTATGTATTATATACTGTAAGAATAGTGTACCATTTCAACCTTAGGTTTATGGGGTCTAGAGTGTGACACACTGTAATCATAGGTTCATGTAACAGGATCATATATGAAGCCATTCCACTCTTTGTTGTAAACAACTAAACTACATTGGTTGGCACTCTGTCAACCATTGCTCAGGCTTTTTGGCCATACGAGCCTTACAGCCTACACACATGATTGGACACATCACGTACAATGAACATCAGGAAAAACACTTTGGCTATATATGCTCTTATAGTACTATAATTGCAAAAATAGATGTCATAGTGATCATAGCTGTAATCAAAACCCCAGCATCTATTCAGGAATAATGTGCTCTTATAGTAAGTACTCTTTCAGTTGACTATAGTTCCAAGAGACTCATATAGTAGCATCAACACTATGACAGCATTTGCTATAAACATAGCACTTACAGCATTTACAGCACCCATAGCACTCATAGCACTCATCTAATACATTGGTAGCATTTAGGGTATATATTACACTCAATGCACTTGTTACACTTGGAGCTGCTATAGCATGTATTGCACTCAACAACCAAATAATACAATAAAAACAGCACAATAATATTTTTTACTTCTAGCAACTGACAAAACCGAATAAACCCGGTCTCTGCCAAAGCAGCCATTGTTCTCCTAGGAGCACAATTGTACTTGGAGTCATTATACTGTAGCAAGTAGCACCTCCGACTATAAGTAGTAGGGGGTTTAGTATAGAAATACCTCAGTTGTTTCTATAGCCTCTTGGGCAGCGGCTGAGGTATGTTACATTACATTTATTAGAGATCACCTTAAACTAACATCCATTGTAGTTTCACTTAGGTAAATAATAAAGTCGTTTCTATAGCCTCTCGGGCAGCGGCTGAGTTTTACTTAGTTTTATTAGTAACAAGGAAATGTAGGATATGTAGATAGAAAACAAGGAATGCCATCAAGCAGCATGCTCAACAACAGTAACAGCGCCTTCTAGGGCTTCAAAATCAATACCAAAATCTTCATCTTTCATATGATCATCAACAATCCCTAGATAATGAAGATTTGCCAGATTTCTATTTTGATAAATCAGTAGCTTAAAAGCTCAAGTATTGATGCTTACAAAATGTCCTGGTACAAGCCATCTCTAATTTTCTTCATCCAGATAGGACTTTTCCTCTGAAGAACTGATAACTTTTTGAAGTAGTATTCCCACCTAAGCAATATTCAAAAAAAGTTAACATAAATATGTAACAACTTACCTGGTTTTGAAAACATTCTCTGAGAACTCGAGTGTGGCCTTGGTGCCATTCACAGATGCTCTGAGTGAACATTCAATCCAAAAGCATAATAAGATAAACAGCTGGATAAAGAAGGCTAGAACTTACAGCTGCTGTGGTAATTACAAGTAGGGCTAAAGGGATGCCTTTGAAATGTTCAGGGTAGTACACACCCTCACCCTTACACTTATACCACTGATTATGAATTAAGTCCTTGACAATCTGATGAGAAAAAGGTTTCTGTTTGTTAAATGTCCTGGCCCTGGCCTTAAATATGGTTAAGATCAATGTCAATATAGTAGAACAATAGCTCACCTTGATATCAAGATCACCATCAGCAAATGCACCAATCTCTAAAAGCCATGTTACAACTGTCTTGATCTGAGCTGGCATCATATCACCAGGAATATGGTAAGCACCATTGATCATGAGATGAGCTTTGGCTACAATTTCTCCCCAGAACTGGGCAACAAACCTAGTAAAAAGAGTCATTTATTAGTATGATATTATCAGAGGTGGTGACACATACATAGTCAATTAATGTGTTTTTAATTTCTTCATTGCTGTTAATCTCTAGAAGCTTGGCTTGTAAATCCTCTTGGCCTTTTGAAGCATCAAAAAAGCCTTTTACAAAAAGATTTGGAGCAGCAGGTAGGTGGAGGGAATCCTTCTTGTGTCATAGCATACAATCTTATGACAGTATGCCCAGCGGTAGCAAGATCCAGAAGATGATTGGGAAACATATCAAGGGTGATCCTACATCTTTCCCCCATCTTTAGCAGTAAATAGAGAGCTGAAGGCATAGAAACAGAGGCAGAGACAGAAGACATTCTGGACAAAGGCATAGAAAATTTTCATTTTCTCGACAAACTAGAAAAGTAAGAGTAAGAGTAAGAATACACTGATGGTTTAGTCCTCTCCTGTATAACAACAGGCCTGGACTTGGGCTGGTATATAGGCTGTTAGCTTAATGGATGTTAAAAGTATCCAGAAATGTACTTGATCATCCAGAATGAGTCTATTAACATATTAGCAGCACATAAGTATTTTCCTCTAGGAATGATTATATCTTATCATCAGGTCCAGCACTCTTATCCTCATCATAATTATCACTGCTTTCATCCCCACCTGTGTGTGGCTTTTAAGTTAGGACCCCTTGAAAATCTTCCTCATCAGAATCATTATCAATGGATTGTCTTTTTCTAGGAGGGTTTGGTGGTGTGACTGGGCCAAAGTCATTAAGATCCTGGCATTCATAGCCATGATGTGCTGGTACTCCTCAGCACTCAAAGTAACTACATCGCCCCCCCCCCTTTTGAGGTATTAGCTTTAGATTTACCCTTTGTATTTTTTTTGCCTGCCATTGAAGTTAGCAAGCCTGTGAGAAAGTAAACAGAGAATCAAGCATAACATAAAAGTGAAAATTTACCCACAGAGTTTAGAGCAGGCATTCTGATCAGAATATAAATAACTCCTGACAATACCTCTGAGAATTGCTGAACAACGCATACAGGAGTAGTATAGTAGTACTATAGACAGTGTATTTATACAAAGGTCCTCATGGCTTCATTTTCTTGTCAGCCATTTCTATCTGCAGCCCATGAAACAAATTCATGATCAGTGTGAAGTACTATGGATGCCCATTTACTTTTATAATGAAGATTGAGATAAGTGATATCAGATGAAAATTGCAAAGTCCCCATGATTCAGCTCAATGACAAGGCCTGTCTCAACTATCACAAGAGCTGCCCCCCTCAATATTCTAATGGGGAGAATGAAGCAAAACTCCTGGTCCTTGCTGTCATGGTGAGCTTTTGTCTGTACATTGATGTTGATGACCAGTGAGAGGAAGGGGTAGGCTCATATAGCATAGTAATAACCTTCCATCTTAAATATTGTTTATAAGAGTGGGTGTCAGGGAGAGATCTCAGAAGGGCCCCAGGGAGGGCACAGAGGAAGGCCCTGGGGTTGGCACAGAGAGGAGGGCACAGAGGAAGGACCTGGGGAGCATTTGGAGGAATCTGGGGAGCATTCAGATAAGTCGGACCCCCTTGGGGATGGCAAATTGTCTGACAAGCCAGTTGACTCACTTAAAATTGCTGATGAAATGTATATCAGACCTTTTAAGTACAAGTAAATGTATAAACTTACATTTTATGGTTATTGGGTCATATATGGTGGGTAACATGGGTAAATCTGAAGAAAAGTATTTCAAGATGGTGGTGGAGTAGTATTTGAGATGACAGGACATACCTGAGGATGGTTTCTGGGCACTGGATTTGCAACTCCCCAGTGGGGAGTTGGTATTTGCAATATTTCTGGTATTTGAATGTGAAAAATACAAGTTCAACTTTTATCACGTGCATTTTTCTCAAAATTCCCAAGGGCACAATTTGTGGCACCAAATCCATGTATAGCACGTCTGAACCCTTCTAGCATCTCAGTCACTCAGACAATACTACCCTACAACACACTTTTATCCCCTCCCAAACCAAAAACACCACACCAAATATTTTTCTCCACCCAAGAAAAAATCTACCAAGCCAATGAGTGCGTCAAGAAGGCCATGATGTGTTGGCCCCTAGTTTTTGTCCAATACAGTGACCAGTTTGTGGAGATGCTGAGGGAGGAACTAGTGAGTGGGACAAACACAATAAGGGATGGAAACAATGCCAGGTACAACTTCTACATCCCCCAGCTCTTTCTGAGTGCCATCACACAGTTTGGCAGAGCAGAGAACAAGGGAGGGGCAGTGTATCCATCTATAATCAGCTGGGAAGATAAGATGATGGAGGAATCCATCCAGTTTGATCCCAGGAGACGTACTCCTGAGAGGAGGGAGGCTCTGGACAATAGGTGGTTGCTGCAAAGTATGTTTCCTATTTTTTCATCCTTATTCAATGATTTATTAACTGTTTATTTTCACAGTGGTTCCACCTTGTCCTTTCACCACCATGCCTCCTTACTGGCCTTTTGAGGCCCAACAAGGGGATTCACCTCAGCCACTGAGGCTCCATACACCCCCGGGAGGTGAGGTCCCTATTGCTGTCACTCCTCAAAATGATAGCTTGGATCTCATCAACTTCAGCTTTACATCCCCAGTTCCCAGCCACGTACAATAGTAGTCCCCGGCACAACAGTGGAGTCCGCTATCATGCAGGGAAGTTGATTGGTAGCATGGACAAGTGTCAAAAATGAAGTGAATATTCAAAAGACTCGCCTTTGCACCACACAGGCACAGTTCTACGTGGAATAGTAATTCATATTGCCTTTTTTGAACTTGTGGCTGATCAGCACCTCCTCTATTAGGCAATCCAGTTGCGCTCACCTTTGCTTTCCATTCAGTACTTTCTGCATTTCTGCATTTTGGCAAATTTTTGCGTCGCCACTGGCTACACATTGCGCCCTTGCTTTCGTCGTTCTCCCTTACTATTTTTTTTCACTCAGCCCCACCATGGGACCCTTGCTCTCTTTTTTATTCTCACCTGATGGTCGCTTCTGGATCCCCATCCTAGTTCACCTCCTCCACCCTCCTCCTGCTCGTCATCCTTGCTCCCCCACCATACCTGATGTCACCACTCTCTATCCGCTTCCATTGCCGATCCGTCAACCACCACGTGCTACTGCTGATATCAGCAAAGCCCGGCAGCCAGTCCACCTTTATAACTTCAATCTTTCATTGTATATCGTCATATCATTGGTCGCTCATCTCGCCTGCTTGGAGCGTGGGTGGGTAGTTTTTGAGCTGGAGAAGGTTTATCCCCTTGCGTTACCTATGTACATTACTGTCCCATCCACTTGGGTACATTTATCTTTTGTCCATTGTCTTCGCTACAGCTACAGCTACCACACGCTGCCTGGGACTCACTTGTTCCAAATTGGAACTACTCCCCTCTCTCCCTCATTTGACCAGGTGGTCCAATACAACCAGTCCATTGGTAAGACCATGGAACCATTGGATTTGGACTAGGTGGTGGACCGGTGGCTCCAGTTTCTTTTTTTACAGCAAAACATTCATTTACAGTACAATTAATTTTGATTTTTGAATCATTTTTATGGACACATATTTTTTAAAATGCCTGACTGACAATAAAGGAACTGTGTTGATACTGATAGTGTTTTGCTTTACCTTTTTTTTACTGCATCTTCCCATGACTTTATGATTTTCTTGCTCTTTTTCTGTTATTGGACTTTATTTTATGGCTGTACAAACCTGTGACATTACTTACACAGCATTTATTGTTCTATCCCTTTTTTTCCCTTATTTTGATGATCTTATCCTGTACTACCTACACAGGATTTGTCAGCATATATTCTTTCCTTCATGTTCTTTCTCATTCTTTTTGCACAGCTATACTGTGCATAGCCTACCTTTTTTGACTATATAAACCCTCGTATTCAACAACAACTCCAATCCAGACTTCTTCTCTAATCTCAAGTTCACTACTCTGCTACTTGTGATCCAGTGTGGTCACAACACTTCCCACTGCTACCACTATTAACTGCTGTCATTATCACTCATCACTTTTGAAAATGATTGTTATCCCTTTCGATTAGAGTCCTTCTGAGCACTACAGTTTGTGCGTCAGGAGCCTGCTATCACTGGGAACCTTGTCACCTTATTATCTTGTCATTCTCAAACCTACCTTGTGCTACAATTAGCAAGGTAGTGCTCGTCTATACTCGTCACAAAGCTCCTATCTTCTATAGTTCAACTATCCCTCCTCCTCAAAACCCACACCCATACATCTCTGGGTTTTACTTTGAAGGATCATCATACATACCATCCCACGAACAACCAAAGCACCCACTGTTCTAGGAGGCAAAGCCCATAAACAAGTTCTGTGGAATCTGGGAGGATTGTTTTTTAGTTTGTTTTTGTGTGTGGTTTTCTAACAACAGTTCTCATCATCGACACCGCCTCCTTCCTTGGAAGAAAGGGTAGCAAGGATGGAACAAAGGTAGGGGATCATTGGGGATCTCTATAAGAGGATTAGCCAGCTGGAGGATGAGGTAGCAAGGTTGAAAGCAAAGAAGAGGGAGTATAATTAGACAAAATTATAGTTCAATGGACTTGTAATATAAATTTCTTTTTTTCTTTCTTTTTTTCAACTAGATTTTATTTGCATATACTTAGTTTCTCCTCACTCATCACTCAGTGTATATTTACTTGCTTGATTCTTATAAATCTGACCTACCTACATTATGATTTTAGTGTGATAATGCATGATAAGAACAAGTCTGAGAACTCTACCCCAGGACCCATTAACATAGGCAAGGACATTACATAGTATAGTAATAACCTTCCATCTTAGATGGGGAATTATTACCTGATAATATTACCATATAGATGGGGCCAGCGGAGTCCGGCAGAGTGTGCCAGCTGGGCCATGTTAGATGTGATATATTGTGCCCATCATCAATGATCCCGCTGGGTGAGACACTACACATCCTAGACAACCCGGCTGAGTGAGAGTTTGCTCATTGAAGACCCGGGTAGTGTATATTCAATGGGGTGCAACATTGTATGCAGAGTGGGTGGGCCCTCAAAAAAACAACATTGATTCACATGCATACTGAGGGGCCCAACATCCTCCAGCCAGAGCTGGGATCCCAGTGGGATTGGAATGCAAAACTCGTGGGAACATTTGTTAGCAAATGTGAGAGAGCAGCTGGGGTGTTAGCAATTGCATACCTCACAAGGAGTAAGACATTTGTATTGCATGAAAGACATTACTGATGAATACTGTGCCCAGCATGGAGTATTTTGCTCGGGCGCCATAGTGGATTTTCAGAAAGGTGAATGGTGAGTTGCCCACAAATCTGTGATTGTGGCAATTGCTCACTCTTCATAGCCAAATGAACATGGACTATTCTCTGTGTCAGGCCTTGTCTTCATCGGCTGGGATCAACTCAGTCATAGTCTGCTACAATATAATATGCCAGTACAGTAAACACTTCTTGAAAAGGGTTCTCAAAAGTCCTTATCTTCAGGTCCCCAGTGGTGTATCCATGTACAAGGGCATTATATTATTTCATGTGCATGGACATCAAGATATCTGCTTCCCAAGATACGCCCCTAACTTCATCCCCAAGGCCAGGCAGGTTGATGGTGAGATATTAGTAATGTTTTGGACTCCCCTTAATGAACTCTCTTGAAGCACCCATGCTATGAGCAAGTCACATAGGCAAAAAATATTAGACAATCACATGAGTGATTTTAATTGAAAGAAGTTTATACAAATAGGTAGGTCCCAGGCTTCAATAACTCACCCATATTCATGACTAAGTGCATGCCTAGTCCTGGCACTTTGCAAGAAGTTCAAAAAGGTTCAACAAGACTTGTCGTCAAGCAAGATTGCGTTCAAAAACATCAATTCCACTGCAGACTCCAAGGACACAGAGGCCTGAATTGCCCAGGGAAAAAAAGCACAGCAAAACCAGCTGCATAAAGAAGATACCATGGATATATATAAAGTCTCTTTGGCAAAATTACCCAGCAAAGCAGAAATCCAGCTGCATTTATTGCAACAAGAAACAAGAAATGGAGTGGTTTGAGGAGCCACTGCTTGGTTATTAGTGGATCTGAAGTTGGAAGAGACTAGTAAGTCCCCGGGCCCCCGGGATCCCGGGAATATATGCTTTTTTGGATACTGACTAACTCTACCTAGCAAGATACAGCTGCAAATGTATGCAAAACAAATTAACAAAAAAGGCACAACCATAGAAAAACTGGAGTTAGAGGAAAGGCGTTAACACCTGCTCTCCCAAGTAGATGCTTTGAAACTCAAGGTTGAAAGGTATCTAGGCAATCTTGATGTTGCTGAGTTTCTTGAGGAGGTCCCCAAGTGGCCAAACTCCGACGAAGACAATAATGCAGAAGATATAAATCTGTTTGACCTCCCAGGTTCCTTTGATGGCGATGATAAGCCTATTGAGAGGAGAAAATTGGTGTTACTCTCTAACTTAGGAAAAGGCACTTGCAAAATTGAAGGCCTGTACCATCTAGTAAGCCAGGAGCTTACACTACGGGAAGGTCAGGCCAACTACACCTTACATCAGATACATATCCTACTGGGTCAAAAGTTACCCACATGGAAGCCAACATCAAAGTCCACTCAGCCATATATAAGAGAACCTGGCATGCAATCATATCTTTGGGGTGCCAGGCAGAAATATTAGAAAAATATCAAGAGCTCAAACCAGACCACTTCAAGACAAGTACCCAGCTCGTGAATCCCAATGCAACCAGACTCTGCAACACTGCATTTCCATGGTTTTTGAGCATGGATCTGAAAGGTGACACCTCCCAACAGACCTGTATGTCTGAATGTATGTGCCCCAGCCCGTCACAGTTTCACAGTATCAAACAGCTAACATTTAGTAATAAAATACAGTTTACCAGGTTCTGTTAAGAACAAAGCTTAAGGAAAGTGTCTAACCACTTGCTGACAGCTATCAGAGACTGGAACTAGAGTCCAATGTGAGTAACTGTATTATTAGAGAGTAGAGTCCAATGTGAGTAACTAGAGAATAGGAAGTATTGGGCTTTGCAGTACTGTCCGATGTTTTGTAAACAAAGGTAAACAAAGGAGCCACAAAGGCAAAATAATAGAGAACACAATCAATACTAAATGATAAAAAGAGAAAAAGATAGAGAAAAAAATGAAAATATGTAGGTAGCACAAAGGTGCAGAATCACCAAAACTAACAGATTCACTGGCTAAGAGCAAAGGCCATGTACAATAGGTGGATAGAAGAAGACATTCTGGTGTGCCTCAAGATGAAGCGGACAGTTCAGTACTTTCAACATCAAGCCAAGTGTTGGAAGGGTTTTCGAGATGCCAATAGAATAGAGGCTAAACCCGGTCATGTAGCTTATGCAGAAAGGCAAATCAGAATGTGGAACCAGTTCTTAAAACAGGCAGAGGACTCATTTCAGAGGCTAGGCATAGTAGTTTGAGGGAACTAAAATAGTGGACCACAATTTAATAGAAACCCGGGGTCTATTATACTATGTAATGGTAGTCCAGTATTTCCAGGCTTTGAAGTAATCTAGTGTTCCCGGGTTTTGAAGTAATGCAATGTTCCTGGACTTTATAGCAATCTATTACTCCTTTGTAGTAATACAAGATTCCTGGGCTTTTACTCACTCCCGGTATCCAACTGCAGGATGCCCGGGTTTCACCCTTTTCATTGAGCAAACTACTACAAATAGCTACAAACTTGCAGCTGTGATGTACCCAGATCAAGACAGTTTAGCTGCTATTCCACATCTATAACTGCATAACATAATCATGTGAAGGTACTGATCATCCCGGGGTCTCCACCCCACATATTGTATGTATATACTCCCTCATGTAATATGCAAAACATATTCTCTCACCACTGCAGGACAAAACCCCATGATTTAGCAACTTTCCACTAAATGCAGCAATAGTCCCACTATCAAACTTGAAGTGAAAACCTGCCCTGGTGAGCTCCAGAATGGCTTCATTGTAGTCTCCTATGCTTGCCAACATGTCATACTACTCTGCTTTGGAGAGACAATCCCGGTGTACTGGTGTCTCCCAGTTGCTGATAATAGAAAGTGTATTGAAGACCAAGCTCCATGCCTTTAGTACTGTCATTCATCCATATGGTCCTCAACTTGTACCAGCACCTCTCAGGCCGGCTCATAAAGTGCAGGGTGAGCTACACACAATATTGCACTCATAAGGGCCCCGGTCTCCACAAAGGATTGCAACCACAGTTCACCAGTTCCCGGGGGTGTAGATTTGTGTAAGGGCCGGGAAGCTTGTGGAGCCTCTCCAGTTTTCTGTGGTGAAACTTTTATTAATTGTGATGTATAAGATTATAACTCAATAGCACAAACTTCATGACTGAGTTGCAACCATGCTGGGGATAAGTCTATCAACCACAAGGGAATAGCTGATACTCCCCGGGATTTTTATAATATTTGGAAGACTGATACTAGCTCTTTGAAAGCTTCTTGGGGTGTTTGCTTTCCATATTCCGCTAAGATGCTGTAGACTATCACACATGCTTTGCTAAATATATTAGCTCAATATAAGTATTTTGCTTGACCATGTAAATACATTTTCACCTGTCTCCCCTCAGTGAGGATGACAGGGAGGTACCATACAACTATTCTTCCGTGAATGTCCATTATGATGGAAGGGATTGTGATGATGCCAATATCTTTTGCAGGTCAATATTCCTCAGATATACTCTGTTTGAGCTTGTTGTTCTGGCTGTTATTACGAGGGCCCACCTGCTCTGCATACAATGTCACACCCCATTGAATATTCACTACCCGGGTATTCATCAGTAACGTCTTTCATGCAATACAAATGACTTACTCCTTGTGAGGTATGCAATTGCTAACACCCCAGCTGCTCTCTCACATTTGCTAACAAATGTTCCCAGGACCCCGGCTCTGGCTGGAGGAGGTTGGGCCCCTCAGTATGCATGTGAATCAATGATTGCTGCAAGTGAAATAGCACACACTGTGCTGCAAGTTCTGTAAACAGCAATTTCCAGCTCAAAGGAATTTCAGAGGGAATGGATGGCTCAGGGGTCTGAGGACTCATGATGTTACTGTAGACAACAAATATATGTGGGTTCTCTAATAAATGATTACTGGTCAGTACATTATATAAATTATCATTATATAATACAGCATTTCAGACACACATTGTTCAAGCATGTCCATGAATCTATAATTTAAGTGCTACGGTCATAGAGAGCCTCCTGGCAACAAGACATCACCAGATTTGGAAGTTATAAGATATTATATTTGCATACCCAATGTCAAATAGAAAAAAATAATGCTTAAAAAGGTGACAGACAGGTCTTTGATGAGCAGACTCTGATCCAGCTTGTCAGAACCGTGGCCTCTTCAGAGTAACAGAGCTGCGGAGTACGGGGATGGAGTAATGGGGTATGGAGGATGAGGTGGGGAATTGGCTTAGCTTGTGCACTAGACCCTTCCACGGACCTTGGTCCCTAACTTGTTGGAAATGGACGGAGGAGAAGTAGAGGATGAAGGGGAGCAGAGTAAAGATCCTTTGGAGAAGGATTGGAAAGGTCTTTAGAAAAGGACCGGTAAGAAAGCGAGAGAATCTAGTTTATATTCAAACTGCAGAAACGGAGTACAGGAGTTACAGCTTATGTATATACTGGGGGAGCAGGAGCTTGTAAGGAGTAACTCATAATGTAGGTACAGAGTTCCATGTGGACAATTAAAATGTGCAAGGAGAAATATATGGTGGACTAGAAGTCCGGTGCAGGAGTATCAGAGCGGACAACCGGAGTACCATGTGAAAATGGAGCATAGAGTTATGCCGACCAGCAGACCACAAGGAATCCCGAGTATACCAATGGTTTAGGAGTTTTGGGCTTGGAGAATAACTCCTTTGGAGATGCCAAAGTTCTGTCTTCCGATATAGATATGACACAGCTGGGTCGTCATCAATGAGCACTCTGTGACCCAACCGGGTCGTCTAAGACGGGCAATCATAACTATATGGGCTGTGTATAGTGTATTATTGAAGATACATTGTTTCATTGTCACTGGTACATTAATACTAGCAAAATCACTTATTAAACTTTAGTAAGGTTAGTTGCTTCTCAGTGGACAGGGGACAAGTCATCACCTTCCCTGCAGTCACATTCAATGTGCAAATGGAAAAGAAATAGTGAATGGTGGGGAAGGACTCAGACACAGAATAAAGTGGAGCACCAAAAAAGAGGCCCACGATATCTCAACAACAGTCAGTCATGTGGTTTTATCCAAAAAGGGTATAAAAGCTCCTGGAAAGAAAAAAACTTTAATTGCAAAATGTAAACCTGCTTTTTTGATACTAACTTTTTTTTGGTGCCTTCTGAGTCCCTACAACAAAGTCCCCACCTCATCTTTTGGTGAGGATGTTGGATATTCAGTCCCTCAGGGCGCGGGAACAGGCGCAGGAGAAGGATTCTTTTGGCAAATGAATGCCATAACAATGTAAATACATGCTTCTTATATAACAAACATATGTAAATATCATGTGAAAGACAATGATAGCCACAAAAGGCCGGTTGTAATCACAGAGTAAAGCTTCGGGCGAAGCTCCAAAGTTCGCTTATGTAATATAATTTCTACAGAGGAATCTGTCCCCCTACCACAACAGCGACAAGTGATCCCACTGCTCACAAAGCTCGCAAATTCATATCGGAAAATGTGATAAGCGCGGGCCGAGCAGGAGCCTAAGGTCTAATGTTCTGGTTAAACTTCGGCCAGGCGCGGAGATTTTTAAATTGTATGCACTCACGTGATATTTGGATGGACTCTGATAATTCCCGCGCTATGCGTGTCAGTCGTGGTTTCGCTGGAGCGACATACTTCAAGCTATCCGAGTCCAGGATCCTTTAGCTTGTGAAAACTTGTATCAAAGGTGCTTCATTCTACTCTCTTCTCGAGCCAACAGAGTAATGTCTTTCATGTTCTCTAGAATTACCTCTGCATCATGTCTGATTCACCTCCCGATTACTTTGACCAACCTTCTTCAACCTCATATCTTGGCACTGATCAAGACTCTTTCGAGGACTCGGTGTCTGCTCGCAGACATGGTTTCTATTCAGACCGTAAGCCCCACTGAATGCCTGCCTGTTGTTAAGACGTGACACTGATGCTTTCTACCTCCTAGATTGTAAGAAGCTAGTTCAAGTGCATTCGTGCTTTCGTTTTGATTGAAGCATTTCTTTTTGTTCCTTCAGCAGATTTCCTGACGTACCATCCAAATCGTTCAGTGCCATCTCTACCATCTCAAAGACTGGTCGAATATGAAGGAGATATACCCATACCTGCCATACCAACTATGGATGCTTCTCTGGTTGGCGCCATGAATAATATACGTCTAAGCGACCCTGTCCCACGAGGTGCGAGTGCGATGTCGTTCAGGTCTGATCCCGACCCACGTGTAGGAACTTCTGCGATGCATACCACCTCCCCCACCCAGCGCATGCCCTCCGAAACTGGGTATATGAATAATTTATCCCCTGATTACAGTTTATATCTTGGGCCCCCTCATGCAGCTGATGTTCATACCGATGGCGCCGCTCTGCCTTCAACGGGTTTGAACTATTCTCACCAGCATTTTCGCACAGGATGGCAAGCTCAGACAATGGTTCAACCAGCACCTCCGCCAATGGGTGACTACAACTATTTGTATGCGGCCGCGTCAGATGTTTTGGGTGTGGGCCCGCCTCTTGGTGCTTCCTCTTTACCATATAACCCAACTTCATTTCAAGCCAGCCATAACCCCCCCACTGCTAGCCAATTGTCTCTTCCATCGAGTCAATCCTCTCAATATTTCGGACAACAAGGGAATAACCCGTATCATGGGGGTGCCACTCTATCGCAGTATACCAACGAGCCGTCCTCTGCTCAGCTGGCCATGCAAGGGCTTGATGATCCTGAGTTCGAGCTACGGCCATCATTACAGCGATCTGGTACCACTGCCTCAGTCAATCTTCGTACGAGAAAAACTAAAGCAGTCGATTTGTCTGCCCCTCCATTCACTAAAGAGTATATCGATCAGTACCGCCAGAGGATTAAAGCAGACCCTGATCCCGAAGCTCACTTCTTATACGCTAAATATCTTATCGAGGCAGCCAAGAAAATAGGCTCCGATGCCAAAGATCAGCGTACAGTCAAAAAATATCGTGATTTTCTCATTCAAGAGTCACTCAAAGTGATTCGACGTTTGGCGACTCAGGCAGAAGCTTACGACGAAGCACAATTCTTTCTTGCTAATTGCTACGGAACTGGTATGCTCGGTCTTCAAGTCGACCATGAGCGTGCATACCACCTTTATTTACAAGCTGCAAAGCAGAATCACGCCGCCGCTTCTTATCGTGTTGCTGTATGCAACGAGATAGGGGCTGGCACCAGGCGCGAGCCACCTCGAGCAGCTGCATTTTACCGAAAAGCTGCTTCGTTAGGCGACACTGCTGCTATGTATAAACTAGGGATGATCCTTCTGCTGGGTTCGCTTGGAGAGCAGAAGAATCCACGAGACGCAATCAATTGGCTTAAACGCGCGGCAGAGCAAGCGGATGAGGAGAATCCCCATGCATTACACGAATTGGGTCTATTGCATGAAGCCCCTAATTCCCAGCTGGTGGTATATGATCCAGCGTACGCCAAAGCCTTATTCACACAAGCTGCGCACCTAGGATATTCGCAGTCGCAATACAAACTCGGGCAATGTTTCGAATATGGCGCCCTTACATGCCCTGTAGATCCTCGACGCTCAATCGCTTGGTACACAAAAGCAGCTGAGAAGGGAAATTCTGAAGCTGAGCTAGCGCTCAGTGGGTGGTACCTAACTGGAAGTGAAGGTGTTTTAAAGCAAAGTGATTCTGAAGCATATCTATGGGCCCGCAGGGCAGCAAACAAAGGTTTGAATAAGGCGGAGTATGCAGTAGGCTACTATGCCGAAGTTGGTATTGGTATCAAACAGGACGTTGAGTTTGCCAAACGCTGGTATATGCGGGCCGCAGGTAAGACATGCGCTTTTGACTTTCAAATGCAATTGACAACGCAATATTTGCAGCTCAAGGAAATAAGCGTGCAATGAATAGACTGACAGAGATGAAGCGAATGGGTAATAAGCGTTCCATGGCTCGTCCAACTCGACAACAGGCCAAGGATGAATGTACTATTTGTTAGTCAATCATGGCGGTAGTTCAAGCGTTCTTACACCATTGTCAACGTTGGAATAGTATCGCTGCTAATAGAAATTGGGACAGTGAGCATACTGCTCAATTACTCACCGGGTCTTTTGTGTTCCCTTGCTCAAGCACATTATAAATCATAGATAATGTTCAAAGTGCTACAGCTAAATTCATAATGATACTGTCGTCGACATTTATTCGGATGGGGGTTATCGAAAAGCACACATTCCACTACACTGAGTATTCGGATGTCACATAGTCACCTCTCCTGATACCTGTCACAACAGGCATGACAGGTGCAAATTGTGGGACCTGATAATTATGTTATGTGAGCTGGAAAAATTCCTCAGAATTCCTCAGATATACTCTGTTCTGGCTTGTTCTGGCTAATTTTACAAGGGCTCATCCACTCTACATACAGTCTCAAATCCCATTCAATATTCACTACCCAGGCATTCATCAGCAACAATCCTTGGTGTAATACACACAACATGCTCCTGGTGAAGTATTCAATTGCTAACACCTTGGTTTCTCTCTTACATTTTCTGACAAAGGTTCCTGGGAGTTTTGTATTTCAATCCCACTAGGATCCTGGCTGCTGCTGGGGGAGATTGGGCCCCCTCAGTGTGCATGCAAACTAATGATTGCCAGAAGTGAAAATGCACACATTGTGCTACAAGTGGCAGTTGTAACAATCAAAGTTTTGATACTCTGGCACACAACTCAGACAGGCAAGAGTGAGGGAAGGAAAAGTGGGTAAACCCCTTGAGATAAAACCAAGTTAATTGTGGATAAGCAATAGGAGGACTCGCTGAGGAGTCTCCTTGATCTATTGAAGTATTTATACAACTAGAGGCTATTTGTACACATGTATTATATAGTTGGTAAAAGCAGTGGCTGATGGTATCATAGGGTGCAGCCCATGTGGCCAGCTCCACTTGTATAAGACAGTACCAAAAAATAAGAAGAAGAAGTGTAGCGTGAGAAAGTGAAAGTTTTTAAAACAAAAGGAAAGTGCTGAATGGCACAAGTGTATGAGTAATGAGAAAGAGGGTTAAAGAGGAGAATAAAAGTTAAAGGTCCAAAAATTGTGTATTGTAACAGCATTTCTAAGAGTAGTCAAGGTATGAGACATTCATAGAAAATAGTCTACATTTGAAAGTGAAAAGTCACTGTTCTATCTTTTAGTATAGTAGAAGCTATTCTAAGACACCTGTAAATTTTTGCATAGTCTTCAACAAAGTATCATCTTAATGCCTACCATCATCAACGACCCAAATATGTATTAATCCCAGATTCTACAAGAGAAGAAATTCAAGAAGTAAGACTTGGGTTTGAAAATGAAATCATAGACAATGTGCAAGTGGCTAGGATTTTAACCAATCTTTAAACTATTGCAAGCAACAATGATTAGACTGCAATGGGCACAACAAGTTAAAGTTGAAAACTCAGAAGCTGAGAAAGAGAGAGACTGTTTCTAGAAGTAAAAGCAGCTACACAGGCCATACAGCAGCAACATATTGCTGATGAATAGGAGGCAGTACATAAATAGGAGAGAAAGAAGAACAAGATAAAGTATGCTCCTGTCAGAGATGTGGATCCCATCTGACCCAGTAATATGTTCATCCCAATATGCATTGAAAAAAAAAATTGAAAAAAACAGTGGATGTTTGGAGACAATACAGAACCAGCTATGTTTCCATGTTGTGCAGTCTATCTTGGAAGATATTCATACAAAACAATTGAGTACATTGCTCCCAAGAGCTGGGATGGCAAGCATGACATAATTTGTGAGTATATCAACAGAATACTTCAGCCCATATATTATAATTATCCATCTTAAACAGGGCATTATTACCTGATAATATTACTATATAGACGGGGCCAGCGGAGTCCGGCAGAGTGTGCCAGCTGGGCCATGTTAGATGTGATATTATTGTGCCCATCATCGACAACCCAGCTGGGTGAGAGGGTGCCCATCTTAGACAACCTGGCTGGGTGAGAGGACACCCGTCTTGGACAACCCAGCTGAAATAGTCTGCTCATCAAAGACCTATCTGTCACCTTTTTAGGCATCATTTTTTATTTGACATTTGATATACAAATATTTCATATTTCATAACTTCCAAATCTGGTGGTGTTTTATCCTTGGGAGGGTCTCTAAGACCTTAGCACTTACATTATTGATTTATAGACATGCTTAAATAATGTGTTTCTGAATGCTGTATTATATAATGTACTGATTAGTAATCATGTTTTAGACAACCCCACGTATATTTTTGTTGTCTACAGCAACACCATGAGTTCTCAGACCTCTGAGCCATTCATTCCCTCCAATATTTTTTCCAGCTGGAAATTGCTGTTTATAAAACTTGCAGCACAGTGTGTGCAATTTCACTTCTGGCAAGCATCAATTTACATGTTAAGGTGCCCAACCTTCTCTGCCACAACAAGGATCCCAGTGGGATTGGAATGCAAAACTCCCGGGGATATTTGTTAGCTAGTATATGAGAGCAGCCAGGGTGTTAGTGATTGCATACCTTACAAGGAGTAAGTTATGTGTATTGCAAGAAAGACATTACTGATGAATGCCCGGGTAGTGAATATTTAATGGGATATGATATTGTATGCAGAGCAGGTGGGCCCTTGTAAAAACAGCCAGAACAACAAGCTCAAACAGAGTATATCTGAAGAATATTGACCTGCAAAAGAAATTGGCACTATCACACTCCCTTTTATCATAATGGAAATTCACAAAAGAATAATCCTATGGTACCTCCTGTCATATCCATGCCCCAGACTATGATTCCTGGACCTCCAAAAAGTCAGTGATCCCCAAGTCCACACTTTTAAATCTCTGATACTGTCAAAATTATGCTCCTCATGCTCTGTTGCTTGGCATGGCCCTGTACCTCACCCCCACATGGCACTCTGGATATCCACTCTGATTCTCCTGCACTGGGCTTCTAGTCCACCATACAATTTTCTCCACATACTCTCATACCCCTTATGAACTCTGTGTGTTAGACCTTATGGTACACTCTCCTCACATATGATTTCCCTTGGCTAAATAATTGTCTGCATGGAACTCTGTACCTACATTACAAGTTACTCTTTACAAACTCCAATCCTTCTGATAGTATATAAGCCATAGCTCCTGTGCTCTGTTTCTGTAGCTTGAATATCAACTAGTTCCTCCCACCTTTATTGGAGTATTTTTCCAAGTTTTCCGGTTCTCCGGAGTTTTATAAGCAAAGGTAAACAAAGTAGCTACAGAGGCAAAATAATAGAAAACACAATCAATACTAAATGGTAGACAAATATATAGAAAAAAGAATAAAAATTAGCACAAAGGTGCAGAATCACCAGAACTAACAGTCTTTGATAGTGTTTATTGTGTTTCTGGATATTCAGCTTTGCATGATGACAAAACCGGATAAACTCGGTCTCTGCCAAAGCAGCCATTGTTCTCCATGGAGTCACCATTGTTCTCCTAGGAGCACAATTGTACTCCTAGGAGTCATTATACTGTAGCGAGTAGCACCTCCGACTATAAGTAGTAGGGGGTTTAGTATAGAAATACCTCAGTCATTTCTATAGCCTCTCGGGCAGCGGCTGAGTTTCACTTAGTTTTATTACATGATAATCTAGTACAGGAATAAGGTAGGCAGAGTAGTGAGGAGAAAGCTTCATGGCTGAGATTACCAGTATGCTCATAACAGTGATGGTAGGGAACAAAGAATCTCTCTCACAGGTTCCACCGGCACCTGCCATTCCAACCAACAAGCACTGATTACACTATGAATCAAATTTGCAATGCAGTTAGAGTAGATCCCCTTTTTTCCCATGATTCACAATTTCCACTACAGTATATTCTACAGAATATAATCAATATTCACAACTGATGTAGAATACTCCAAATATCGCTGCAAAAGATGACTGAAATGGTTCTGGAATAGACCTGACACCATCTGAGATGCAGAAGTGAAAAATCAGATTTTTGCTTAACACCCACTCAACCATCCTGTCTCCTCAAACTCAACTTGTCCAGCAGCTTGACATTCTCAGGTTTAAGTTTAAAGTCACACATGAGTAGATTGAATCAACTGATATATTTATTGCGGTAAGGAGAGCATAGTGGAGAGCATAGTTAAAAGTACATTATAAGTCAGACTGCTAATTGTTCTTCTAACTAAGCAAGCTCATAAACACAGCAAAACTGATTATTCTGCAAGAGGCTGAGGTATGTATCTACAACTACAATATTGTGCTCAAAAATTTGAAACAGCTTAACTAAATCATTGACTTCCAGGTATTGATTGTTCTTCAACATAGCAGAGATGTCATAGCTTCAGCAAACATGCTATGGGTTTGGAATAGGTGTTTTTGGCTGGGAGACTTTACAAGAAAAAACAGGGGGAGCAGGGGGAGCTTCTGTACCAAAGCCAATGTCTAGTTTAGTATTAAAATTCTGCATAATGGGGAGGAACTTGTCAAGTCTGTTGTTCAGGCCACATTGGCAGTAATTTTATATAGAGGGATTTGTTGGAACCTTGGCTTCAATTGCTTCCACCATTGCTTTTGCTGTGGGAGATAACAATTATGCCTTTATTATTGACAATCTCAGCATCCCAAGCTGAGCATTTGCTGCTAGCTAAAGTGGTTAAACTTATGGAAGGACACACAACTGCAAAAGTTGACAAGGGAAGGCCACCAAACCAGTTATTAATGCAAACAGGGGGATTTTTTGTGGCTATATCAGACAGAGCTAGGACAGCAAGCACTGAAGTGGTGCAGGCACAATAGACATGGTAGAACTTGTGGTAGTGGAAACAGATGGAGTAAATACCTGGGTTATAGATGTGGATATTTTTGATACTCTTCGGGCTCAGGATACCCTAGGGGTGCAAAAAGCATTTGAGCCCTTGGCATGCTGACCCTTTAGCAGCTTCTGCATAGTATTATAATGTATCCACCCCTTCCTCTTATATGCTTTTGCTCTCAAACTTTTACACATATTGGTGTTGATTCAGACTCCTTCCTATGCAGGTAAAAATCAAGGTATGTACCTCAACTATTTTGGCCCAAACTGTTTCACTTTCATCAAGTATATTCAGCCCTAGTTTGAGTTTATTGTCCCACAGTATATAAAATAAGTTTGCAATTGCCCTAAATTCATTGTATGTTGTACAGAGCTACATTAACACATGATTTTTGTTAGAAAACAGTGTGCATCAGAGTATAATATACATCCACAAACCCTTTCCCATTTCAAACCACAGCAAGTAGCACTTTTTGCTGGTCCTTTCACAAGGAGAGGCACAATCTCAGCTGCCAACCCTGGCCAAAATGCTCTCCTAAAGTTGAGATCATCCCTTCCTTGTGCACAATGTTTCTTGATATAGCTGATAAGGGCTGTGGTTTTGATTTTAGTTTAAATGGCATTGCCATTACTGCTCTGAGTGATGCCCTCTCCTTTGTTTGTTACTTTTTTTTGGTTGGTAGATTTCTGGGACTGACTTTTGCTCATTTTAAGGGATTGTTGTGGTCATTTTCCAGGAGGGATGTGGTCCAGGGTTGTCCTACACTATAGTTTTGTTTTATTCAGGGCATGAGGATAGCTGAAGAAGTGCTGACCATTGGACAACATATATATTATTCCCTTTTGTGCATTGAACTGTGCTCCCAAAAAAGCATGGCTGGCTTTGACTCCAATGGCTCCCCAGTATCATGTGGCTGAAAAGTTGAAAAAATCAATATTATCTATTTCATCTGCTTGGCTATAATATTTTTTGTGTTTTATTATGCTGTGTTAACTATGATTTTGCTATTCAGCATTTTTAGCACATGATCCTGGTGTGAAGTTGGAGTATACTTAAGTTTATTGGGATCAAGAGTATCATTCTGATGGTGTTAAAGCACTTGAAGAAAAAGTGCACAGCTGTCATATGATTTTTGAGCATATTTAATGCTTTGTGTATTTTGATATTTATGCTAACTCAAATATAATTTTATTATCATTATGATCAACTTACTCCAGTGGTTATCCAAGATGGTGGAACTGCATGGCTCTCTTCAACACCAACTTCTAGAGTTAACCATGAGAGTGTATCTTGCCATCCTTCTCAAGAGCTTGATAATTATTTTCAGAATCTCTTGAAGAATGATACTGCTGATGTGATAAAAATGGTGGGGTATAAGTATAATATCCAGTGTCTCTTTACATGTCAATAATTAACATATAGTACCACTCAGTTTAATACCCAGTACTGTCATTGATGGCATATGATACCTGGCAACTCAAGGATCTTTTGTGGGAGCTGAGAGCATTTTCCAACAGTGGTGGTAGGACAAATACTGCATTGAGAAGCAGGCTTCTTCCAGAGATATTTGAAGCTTTACAGATTCTCAAAATGGGATACAGAATTGGTTTATCAGATATTGAGAAAGTACTTACTTTGCGTAAGGAATGAATTTCTCCATTGCATTCCCGCTTTGTCATGATTATCTAACCTCTTCCTTATCACCCCTTTCATTATCAGGCTAAAAGTTATGCCTGGTACTCTTTTACTTCTATCTTTCTTTTCTTATTTTCCTTTTACACATTGTGTTCTATCATACTTACAACATAGGAGACTCCTCCCCATTCCCAAGAAAATATCCCAATGGCATAACTCCAATCAAGAGCTGTGCTCAGGAATACTTCAGTGAGAAATTAATCAGTGATACAGACTGTGACTCAGTGTCTTCCCATGGGGTTACTAATCTAGCCAATCATACATCCCTTACTAACTACCTTTCTTACATTATTAGTGACTATGATAGATCACACCATTTCTTCTGGGTTCTGATTGGCTAGAAAAAGCTAAAAATATTTTCAGCATATGAGCTGGGCTTGAATAAGCCAACACCCTGCAGTGGAAGAAACCTTTTGAATTAATGTGGATTAAATGTAGAAGTACATTTACTACAAATATGTTTAAGAAAGTATACATACTTGCCCCAAATTATAAGAGTCCAGCCCAGTCTAAACACAAATTCAATGTGCTGAACCATAATATGAAATGATTCAGAGGTTCTGTTCTGTTTTGTTCACCCCTGAATCTACTTGATTCGGTCTGGGGTTTGGAAAAAAATGCCTCCCAACCAAACCAAACCAAACTTTGGCATCCCTATGTGAGTCAGGCCCAGGTTAGGCAGAGCCCTGAATGCTGATATAAGGGCATTGAGGGGGGGTTCTTTGTTAATACAAATGGTACCCTAAAAGCTCCCTCTTGTGCAAGGTTCTAGACTTCTGTATATATATTGCATTACCATATTTAGACATTGACTTCAAGTAATCCGCAAAGATTGATCTATGCATGTTGTACATCTCTGCTCCCTCCTACAGGGCTTAACAGAGCTATTGGTGATGGGTAAAGAGATAACCAAACAGTTGAGATGACTCTCAAAAAACTATTGGTGAACCCTCTTGCAATCCTCTGGATGGTTCATACACTTATCTTTCACTTTCCAGATGGTAATCTCTGTGCCACATGTACCCCAGTGGCCGTACCGGCTAACCTTCAAGGGTCCTAGGACTAAAAGCCTCTGGACGACTGACCTGACCTCCATAACACCTCCAAAAATCCTCTCAGTGTCCATGTACACCCTCTATATGGCCTCTGGTTGACCATCCGCCCTACATTCACCCTCTATAACACTATCAGGACTGCTATCCACCCTCTGGACATCCTCCAAACATCTCCATACAACCTTCTGGATGACTATCCGCCTCTTGGTGACCTTTGAACACCCTCCTTACAACCTCCATATGACCATGTGCCCTCTCAACATCCTTTGACCTCCCTCTATATGGCTCTTGAATGCCCTCCATACAACCTCTATACACTCATTTTCCCTCTGAGAATCCTTTGTCCACCCTTATACACCCTCCATATGACCACTTCCATAGAGCCCTTGCACGCCCTCCATAAGACCTCAATAAGACCATCCACTCTCCCAACATCCTTTGTCTACCCTCCATGGACCTTGGAACACCCTCCATACAACCATTTACCCTCAGGATATTCTTTGACCACCCTCTGTACATCCTTTAAACACCCTCCATATGACATGAACAACCTTTGAACAACCTTCATACAAACAGATATTTGTTGACCACCCTCCACACAACCTTTGAGCACCCTCTACACAACCTGTGCCCTCCAAATATCCTTTGGCTACCCTCCATACGACCTCCAGCAATCACCATGCAAAAGTTCAATGACTGTTGGATGCTCTGACACTTCCTAGAGAGTCTGTAAAAGGTTATCTGAGGTCTATAAGAGTGTCGCACAAGGGTTGTGCTCCTTAAGTTCCAACATTGTACATAAAACAAGACATCATTATAACTTTGCTCGTTAATCAACACATTGAGTAGTGGCAAGAAAGCCTTTATAACATCACAGCTATTACCCACTGCCCACCTCCTAAAACCCTTGGTAAAAAGAATTAGATGGGTATGCTTTGCTAGGAAGATATGGCTTTTGATATTGACCCTCTGAGTTTGTCGAATTCATGGCTTGTTCGTACATAGAGTTTTGTGCTTCCATATGTGTGGACCACGCAATTTTCACAATACCAGGTGGAAGAAACGCATCAGGCTGCCCTTTCAAAGAAGGGATGAGTGCATGGGCAATTTGTTTGACCACCTCAGGGATGGTATGAGCACATGCATCTCCCGATGCCACTTGGGTAGGCAATGTATCTCGGGCATGTGTACTGCTGCGTGAAGGGTCATATTCATCTGGTTGGTTCCCAACAGGGATTTTGTGCATTTTGGGCTTAGGCCGGACAGCCACAGAAATAGGTGCTTGGTTTGGCACACTGGGAAGGCTCATTGATGTGGCAAGAGGTACTGTATTGTGGGTCCTCAAGCTGTTGTACACCGGGTGATCAGGACAAACCATTTGCAATGGGGGTCGGCTCATTACTGGCCTCATATGCAGTGAGATTTCTGGTGCAGGGAGATCACATGGATTGAACTTTGTGGGGGGAAGAGTTGATGGGGGGACAGGTGGTGTGACTCTCGCTTTCTTTTTCCCTTTAGCCTTTGAGAAAACATGCACCGTTTCTTCCATGTCTGACTCAGAATCACTGATAGTGGCATCACAGGGGCGCTTTACTGATGTGTCTCTGGGCATAACCATTGTTTTTTTCTCTGCCTTTTTCTTAATTGCTGGAGGTTTAGTAGGTGGTAGTTTATCCTTTGCAGGCTGTATAATGACAACCCTATCACTCTCTTCACTTTCTGGCCGGCTTATTTTGGCCTTGGTTTGCAGAGCAGCAAGTTTCCGGAGCTTTGTCAAAGGAGGAGTGGGTGTCCTAGATAAAACTGTAAAAACAGATTTGGTTAGAGTTGATGATGAAGATGGGCTAGGTGGAATGCGATCCAGACCATGATAGTTGGTTAAAACAACACCATTTTTAATCTTGACCCGCAAGCCTGCAAGGTGTTCAAAGTTACCCATGGGAGGGACACCCTGTATGACCACAACCCGCATGACATCTGAGAGCACTAAAGCACATAGAATTGGTATATTATTTAGGTATAAGTAGTTATGTACTTACATTCGGCCATGCCTTTTTGTTTGACAAACTTCAGAGGACATCAGGAAAAACCCTTTTGCTATATAGCACTATATAGCCACCTATATATATAAATGCATTCATAGAAACTATAGTACTATCAGTGCAATCATAGCTCTTATAGTTCTTATAACACAGTAGTAGGCAAAATTTTAACGAAGGGGAGAAGTATCTATAATTCCCTCAAACTCTGGATTAATCTAATAAACTTGTTTAATAATAGAAAGAGGCCAAAAGTGTTTGGAGTCAAGTATATTATTATAGACAAGATACTATAAGTGCTCTTATAGCCTATAGCAACCTACATAGCTCCTATAGCTGTAAAGGCCATAGTTATAATATAGTTCAAGGTGCTTAAAAGGGCTAATAAATCATCCAGTATTAATTGATTATGTAGCCTGTATTAGTGAAATAGTAGTTTGTATCCCTGATACCCACAAAATAAGAATAATGATTTATCCAAGTATAAGTAGTGACAATGAGTAAAAAAATAATCTTAAGTCCATAAAAGGTCACAATATATAACACCTGTATAATACATTTTATAAGCTCTCATGGTGTAGTGGATAAATGTGATGTGTGGCTGTAGGTTGCTTAGTCACCCAAGAGCTGACTAGCAGGTTGAGAGTTCAAATCCTGTCTGTGTTAATTTTTTTCAATCAGCCACACAACAATTTCCAACATCTATAAGAGCATTTATAGAGCTATATGAGGCTCTATAGATGGCAGAGGTTCTATAGCAGGTTTGACCACTATAACAGCTTTATGAGTACTTATAGTGCTATAAAGCTCTATATAGCTACCCCCATTGTTCCTGATGGCGCAGATTCACCTGCTTCAGCTGTGGGCAGGAGGGGCACATGGCCCAAGATTGTATAAACGGAGTGCGGGCCGCTCAACATAAAAATAACCAAGGGCACTAGGCACGCCAATTAGAAGCTGGGAAGCCGGACAATCAGCTCAACACTCTGTCCGGTCGTTCGTACGACGAGATCCAGGCCTTCTTCTATGATCAGCAGACCGCTGAAATGAAGGCTCAGGGAAAAGAGTTTAGAGCTTAGGTCACTTGGGTGCCTTCTGTTACAAACTGTACTTAACCATAGACTTTATTTCTCTTCACAAGTAGCTACATTCTGCTACCTACATATACCTTCCCACACACATTGTAAAAACCAAGAGTTAGTTACTCTGGCGCACACAGGAACACACTATAAAGGTAGTGAATGGGGAGTGGTTACCCCTTAGGCTGCAGAGAGTTTGTTGGTTAACAACAGGAGGACTCGCTGAGGAGTCTCCTGGATCTATTCGGGTATATATACTAATACAGAGTGTTTGTACTTATGTACTGTACAGTTGATAAAGTCAGTGGCTGATGATGTCATGGGGCCTAGCCCGCATGACCAGCTCCACTGTGTGAGAGAGTTGTATCTAAAATAAGAAGAAGGCAATGCGGCGCGAGAAAGAGGAGTTTGAACAAAAGGGGAAGTGCCGTGTGGCACCATGTGTGAAAGCTAAAGTATACAAGGTTAAAGTGGAGAATGAAAAAAAAGAAGGAAAGGTCCAAAAATTGTGTTATCGTAACACACATTGCCTATTTTGGTATCACCTGTTAGTTTTGGTGATTCTGCACCTAGTTGTGCTACCTCTATATTTTCATTTCTTTCTTTATCTATTGCTCTACCATTCAGTATTGATTGTGTTCTCTATTATTCCGCCTTTGTGGCTCCTTTGTTTACCTTTGTTTACAAAACATCGGACAGTACTGCAGAGTCCAATGCTTCCTATTCTCTAGTTACTCACATTGGACTCTAGGTACTGTATACCTGTCATACTCTCTAATAATAAAGTTACTCACATTGGACTCTAGTTTCCAGTCCCTGATTGCTCTCAGCAAGTGGCTAGACACTTCCTTCAAGCTTTGTTCTTAATATCACCCGTCCGCGTTTGTTCAATACAAACACCTACCATAAAGTAGTCACTATATATACAGACCTGTATCGTAGTTACTATCTCCAATATGATTGTACGCTTCAACAGTGTAACTTGGTATTCATCAGTTGAAACCCTCATCATCAGAATATGTCTCCAACTCGTCTACAACGAGCTTATCAGAAACCATTTATACATCAGAAACCCTGTGTTACCAGGCTTGCACATTCCAAGCGTAACAAAACAATTGTATTCCATCCACATCCCACGCTTTACAGCGAAGGGACAAAAAAGACGACAAAATGTCGCAAGGAAGAAGACCCATCACCAGGGCACAAACCAGAGCAGGACCAACACAGACAGCAACACCACCGATGACATCCCGACAAGAAAGGATAGCAGCACCACCTCCCTTTCCCCAACCAGACGTAACCCAACTCCACACCAGAGAACAAGCAGACATTTTCTACGAAACCAGAACATGTTGGTTACAGTACTACGCAGAAAGCCACCCACAGCTACTGCCCACCACACAACACGATCCCCTAGTAACCATAGAAAAGCTTTACAACAAAAACAACTTTGAAGAGTTCACAGCAAGCGGCAACCCAATACCACCGCCTACACCACAGATCCTTCCCATTACACCCAATCCATCCCCACTCCCGCCGACACACGCCATGTCTAACACTACGGCATCCAAACCCACTAAATTTGGACAAATAGACGAATTTGATGGAATGCCCAACCGAGCAAACAGATGGATGTTATCAGCTAAAGCATATTTTGATGTAAACGACGCCATCTATGACTCAGACAAAAAGAAGGTCTTTGAAGCACTTTCCCACATGAAAGAAGGAGCAGCCCTGGCATGGAAAGAAACCAAATTAACGGAATATACAGGATCGGGCAGATACGTCAAAAAGTGTGGATACCCAATACGCCATCCGCACCATTCAATCACACTCTGACCAATCCAGAAAATTGACACCATGACAAAGATGCTGGCAACTTCTACTCTCACAGTACAATTATACCCTGAAACACGTACCAGGAACACAAATAATTATCCCAGATAATCTATCCAGAAGACCGGACCTGTACACAGAAGAAGAAGAAGAAGACATGCCACTACTCCCAAAAACTGTCTTTGCTGCAGTAGCAAACACAGATCCATTTATGACCAACATACAAAACAGTTTAAGCGAAGGGAACAAATTACTGATGCACTTAGATCCCAAAGATTGGACTATCAAAGATGACGATGTGTTCTACAAGAACCGCCATTATATTCCCATCGGAACCAAGAGAAGAGCATGTATTCAACAACAGCACGATTTGGTAACAGCCGGACATCCTGGACAACTGAAGACAACCCAATTAGTAACCAGATATTACTACTGGCCAGGTATGACACAAATGATCAAAGACTACGTCACAGGATATGCCACATGCCAACAAAGCAAGGCAATTACCAATCCGATCAAAATACCCATCCAACTGATTTTAGGCCCGAAAACGACCGAACCATTCAAAAAGCTTTCCGTTGATTTTATCACAGATCTGCCAGAAAGCAACGGACATGACAGCCTCATGGTTGTGGTGGACCACGGCCTTACAAAGGGGGTAATACTATCACCATGCAGGAAAACTATTGATGCATTAGGAACAGCTAAACTATTTCACCAATGCGTGTTCAAAAGATTTGGACTACACGACAAACTCATATCCAATAGAGGACCACAGTCTAACATTATATGCCCTACCGCCACATACCCACTAGACACGTTTTATTGTTGGCAAAACGCGCTCCTTGTTGCTGACAAACTACACGCAGTCACCATCTCACTGGGTTCGTTGGTAGACGAGCTTACATGGGACAACAATTCCGTATTGAGTGCTGGAGCGACTTTGCTCATGGAACACTTGCAGATAGAATCCCTAGAACGACGCTTGAGGAAGAATTGCGAGAATGGAGAGAAAGAAGTGGTTGAAGCATTCCTACGCCTGGGTGGCCAAACCGTATGCACCAACACGAAGAACCTTCTTGCTCAATGGGGGTACCTCACCTCCCCTCCCCCAGATTTGCTGAGCCTTCCCGCAATGACGGGGCATCCTTTTCCAGGTCGTCACCCCCCAACCTCACCGCAGTCGCCTCAACTAGCATATCCCCCATCTCCGCCAGATCTTGTTCTACCCACGCCCGCTCCATCATCCCCAACTTGTTCCTTCACAACCGACTCAAAAGTCCCAGAAGCCAATGCAGTAGAAGAATTGCAAGTCATATTGATTCCTATGCATCCAACAACACCCCTCCTCCAACTCCCTCCACCTCATCGCAGTCGCCGATTACACAGGCAGCGCCCAGAGCGGGTACTCCTTATCCCTTTGGGGAGCACACCCACTCACACAAATCGCTCTCAGGAGTCAAACAAGAGGGAGACACCCACGTCGAGCAATGAGTCGCCTCAGGTTGGAAGGCCGTCGAGGAATAATGAGGGAGCCACCTCGGCTTCTCCGCGTGGGAGCAAAAGGCCCTCACCCTGCTCTGATCACTCTAATCTTACTCATTCACAATCCTCTTCAGAACGACACCGTCGCCCTCGTCCCCAGCCTTCCTATGCCTCTCAAGAATATGGCCATCGGGCCATCTACTTGGTAGTTTGGTGATTCTGCACCTTTGTGGCTACCTATATATTTTCATTCCTTTCTC